AGGCGGCCCCAAGAGCGCCCCCCAGGCCCCCAAGAGCGCCCGGGGGGGGGGGGCCAAGAAGCGCCCAGACGGCCCCAAAGAGGCGCCCATGACGCCTCCAAGAAGCTCCCAAGAGACCCCCAAGAAGCCTCAGGCCTCAGGACCTCCGGAGGACCCCCGAACCACCCAAGATGCTTAGAGACGGCCCCAGGCCCGCCAATATGCCCCCCCCCCGACGCACCCAAGAGACATCCCAGTAGACCCCGATAAGTATTCCAGAGGATTCTGGCTCTTTCGCTCGCCTCTTGCTGTAGAGACAATGAGATATGAAAGGAAACCACCAAGCACATACTGAATTGAATATCATCAGTTTCTCTAGCGACGACTGAACCGAAACCAATGCCTGCTACGGGGTGGGGCTGCTACAGTTCTGGTACAGACCCCCCCCCCGTCGCCAGTCTAAGGAATTCGCCCTGGCCCGCTTCTCTCGCGCCCAGGCACTCTTTGATCACCTCAACTCGCCCGGGCGTCGTTTCTGAATGGGCCGGCGGCTGGTGGCTGGCGGGGACGCGCGAAGCGCCCAGGATTTTCTTTCTGAACCCACTGCGCCTAACACCGAACAGCGGGGCAAGCTCCTGCATTGCATCCTCAAGAGACCCCCGAATCATGAAGTTCGCTCGAAGAACGCATACTATCTGGAGGGCCGTGTATCTTTTATTATGTTTCTTCCTGCCAAGGTCGGCAAACTCATTCATGATGAACTGGGACTTCCAAGAGTCAAGGACACGAAGCTGGTGCTCGATTTCGTCTTTCTGGTCAGGGTGGCCGGCGATAAGTCTAGCCCCCAGGGAACGGAGCGACGCCGCCATGGTCTCCACCGCGGCCAAGTCGGGGGCCCGGGGTTGAGGCGGCATACTCAGGGGAGGAGCGGGCGACCATACAGCTTCTCCTGCAGGGGGCCAACCTGGCAACCACTCAGGAATATCAATATCATCTGGCCCTCTGGCACGAAGTAACGCGTTGTGCCATCTCGTCAATACCAATAAATCTCGCCACCTCCCACTCCCCCACTCCCACCTCCTACCGCCTCCTGCCGTTGTTTCATGCCCCCCTATCGTTCTTTGCATTGCACCCATGCTCCGTCGAGCTTCCCCCTGCATCCATCATAACGACCGGGGGAAGGGGATGGAGGAAGAGGAAGAGGAGGAGGATGACAGGAAAGGGGGGCGGAGAAGGACGCCGGGGAGCGACTCGGAGGGGGAAGAGCAGGGGGGGAGGAAGAGGAGGAGGAGGGGGGAGGAGGAGGAGGAGGAGGAGGAGTCCTCAACTCGTCTGAGCCCGAGCGGCCCTCGCCCGTCACCCGTGTCATCCCTTCTCCCTCCCCCCGTGCCTCCTCGCACCCTCCCCCCTCCTCCCTCCACCCCCTGCTCATCCTCCTCCTCCTCTCCTCTCCACCGCGGGGCCCGAGGCGGTCGCACCAGCCTCCCGCCCCGCGCCTCCCTCTCTGGATAAGGGCGACCACGGGCGCCGGGTACAGCAGGAGGTGCAGCTGGTCCCACCTCCCTTGCCCAAGCGATGCATACCCTCATCCCTCGCCCCTCCTCCCTCCTTTCCCCCATCGTCCCCCCACCCCATCTCGTCCTTTCCACTCGTCATTCCCCCACCCCCTACCCCCCTATCCCCTTCCCCAATCCCATCCTTTCCTCCCCTACCTTGCTCTCCTCCCTGCCCCCCTCAGCCGCGGCCCAGACCAGGCCCCTCCCCTCCTCGTGGGAACATTCCACTCGTGAAGCAGCTCCTGCACAGGCAGGATGGAGTCGATCTCGAAGGCCTCCCATCCGCCCTCTTAGGCCCTGGCCTGCCCTGCACTGCACTGCACTGCACGGCCGCGCATGGTCATCCCATCCTGTTCGCTCACCAGGCCCCCTCCCTCTGTTGCGCGTAACCCCTCCTCTGATTGCTCATTATTTCTCTCTCTCTCTCTCTCTCTCTCTCTCTCGTTCTCTCTTTCTTTCTCTCTCTCTCTCTCTCTCTCTCTCTCTCTCTCTCTCTCTCTCTCTCTCTCTCTCTCTCTCTCTCTCTCTCTCTCTCTCTCTCTCTCTCTCTCTTCTCTCATTTCTCTCTCTCTCTCCTCTCTCTCTCACGTGTATATATATATATATATATTCCCCCCCTCTCCCCCCTCCCTCTCGCTCTTTCTCCCCTCTCTCTCTCTCTCTCTCTCTCTCTCTCTCTCTCTCTCTCTCTCTCTCGTCTCTCTCTCTCTCTCTCTCTCTCTCTCTCTCTCTCTCTCTCTCTCTCTCTCTCTCTCTCTCTCTCTCTCTCTCTCTCTCTCTCTCTCGCTCGTTCTGGCTCCCTCCGAGCGCGCGAGCCCGCAGGACACGCGCGGCCCTGCGGCCGCCCTGGATCCTGAGTGGCCCCGCCCGGGCCCCGCCGCGAGTTCCCCCTGCTCCTGCCCCCCCTCATCCCCCTCCTCCTTCTCCTCCTCCTCCTCCTCCTCATTCCCCGTCCCCTCCACCTC